GCGCCTGCGCCTGCCACCGGCAGCAGCGCGCGCGGCGGCGGAGCCGGCGGCGGCGGCGGCCACCCGTCGTCTCCGCGCTACGGCGCCGCTGCAGCCGGGGGTACGGGTGGCAGCGGCGGCGTCGGCGGCGGCGGCGGCGGCGCGGGTGTGGTTCAGCCGTCGTCGCCGACAGGGTCCCTCACCGCTGGCCTGCGGCTGCCCACCCTTGGGGCGGGCGGCATTACATCCCCGAAATCGCCAGCTGCGGCGGCGACAATGACCGCCGGGCGCCTCGGGAGCGGCGGCGGCGGCGGCAGCGGCGGCGCATCCCCAATTGCTTTGCCGTCGGGCGGCGGCGGCGTGCGCGGCTTCGGCGCGACCACTGCGGCCGCGGCGGCCGTGCAGGGGGCCGGGACCGCAGGCGGAAGGGCGGGCGCGCTGCCGGCGGCCGCGGCGGTGGCCGGCGGTGCGGCGCTTGGCGTGGCAAAGGGTGCTAAGCACCATGCAGCGACGCATGTTGCGTCACCAATGCGCAGGGGATCCTCGCGCTTCAAATAGCTTGCGAGTAAGCCGACTGAGTAATCCTTGGGTGGTTGCTGCTTGCATGCATGGGCCACATGCGCATGTGCAATCACGCATGCGGATGTGTCACCAGCATGCGTTGATTTACAGCCCGTCATGGGGATATTAAGGGTGCCTAAGCGCCGCTCATGGCGTGGGGAGGGCACCCCTGGGCCCTGAATAGGTGGCAACAGCAAAGGCGTACGGTCAGCATCGGCGGCAACTGTGCAGCGGCACCAAGATGGCTGGCAAGCCTTTCCAGAGCACTTTATGAACATCCAGCGCGTTACACGCGCTCATTAGCATCCACAAGCGCTTTATTGGGAGCACCAGCCCGATAAGCCGCGTCCCCCGTGGCACCACGGCGTATACCAACGGCAACAGGCTCGCGAAAGCATGGAGGCGTTCGAGCGCAGGCTGGAAGTGCTCGCAGCGCAGCTGGTGCCGGACATGGAGCAGCTCGCGCTCAACCCGACCGCCGCCGCCGCTGCTGCTGCCGTCCCCGCCGACTCGCCCTTCGGCGAGCCCGGCTCGTACGCGGTCGTGCTGCCAGAGGTGCTCGACGGCGAGGGCTCCTGGGACGTCTACAGGTGCGGCTCGCCCGCCCTCCACCCTGGATCTACACCAGCGGCCCAGGTCGGCGAGCCTTCTCGCCCCAAACCCCGGGCTGCTCCGCGCCGCCGCCGCGCCCGCGCTCCCCTCCTCGCCGCCTGCCCGAGCACACACACGTATGCCTGCGCGCCGCAGGGCGGCCGAATCGCCGCGCCGGCTGGTGTCGACGTTCCCGCCGCCCAACGACGGCATCAGGACGCTCCACGACAATTGGGAGGCTGCCGTCTCGCAGTACCCAAACGTGAGAGAGAGAGAGGGGGGGGCAGCAGAGAGCAGCCGCAGCATAGGCCCACCATGGGGCAGGCGCGGCAGGCGTCCGCGATCTGAACGCTCGGTGCAATCCGACGCAGCGGGTGCGATCTGATGCAGTTGACCAATGGCTGGGAGGTCTGACCAGGGCCCATGCTTTGCATTCCACTGCGACCCATGCCGTTCAATGCGCGCCTCCCCACGCGCAGGTGCCGGCGCTGGGCACGCGCAAGCGGGACGCCGCGGGGAAGCTGGGGGCCTACACGTGGCTGACATACGCGCAGGTGCGCCCCCCGCCTCACGCGCGCGCACACATGCGCGGCCGTCGCCCGCGCGGCCGCGCACACTCCCCACGCCGTGCCCGCCCGGCGCTGGCCTGGCAAAACCCCGCGGTGCTGCGCGTGCGAGCCCGCTCGAGCCCTCTCCCGTTTTGCGACACACTCGCCATGTATCCACGCACAACCCATGCACAGCCCATGCACAACCCATGCACAGCCCATGCACAGCCCATGCACAGCCCATGCGCAACCCATGCGCAACCCCATCCAATACGTCGGCTCCCTCCATGCCGGCCGCGCCCAGGCCGGGGACATCCGCACCGCCGTCGGCTCTGGACTGCTCGAGCTGGGGCTGCGGCCAAAGGCCATGGTGGGCCTCTACTCAGTCAACTGCAAAGGTGGGCGGCATGCGGGGTGACTCTGTCAGCTCTGCTGCTGCTGCTGCTGCTGCTGCTGCTGCTGCTGCTGCTGCTGCTGCTGCTGCTGCTGCTGCTGCTGCTGCTGCTGCTGCTGCTGCTGCTGCTGCTGCTGTCGCCGCCGCCGCCGACGCAGGCCGGCGTCGTGCACGGCAGCAACGCGCTGCACGCCTGCGTGGCTGCAGCTGGGCGGGCGGCCGGCTGCAGCTCAGGGATCGGGGGCGTTTAGGCGGAACGGGTTGATGCTTGCAGCCGGCAGGCCACGCCTGCGCTGGCTGAGGTGCTGCGTCCCTCCTTGGAGGGTTTTTTCTCAAGAGCTGTGCACCGCCTCTCCCTTCCCCCGGGCACCTCACACTCTCTGCCGGCTGGGTGTTGCCACAACTGCCTGGATCCCTTGGCCCTTGCTTGCATAGACAAAGTATCAAAAAGTGCACCTGAATCCTGAATCCTGCCGCGGGTGTGCGCAGAGTGGGTGCTTCTTGACGCCGGCGCCCACGCGTATGGCATGACCAGCGTGCCCCTTTATGACACCCTGGGGCCAGACGCCGTCGAGTGAGCCCCGGCGGCGGTTGGGGTCGGTTGGCAGCTTTGGGGTTGGGGGGTCGGTCCACGGTTGTGGCCGGCACGTCGCCCCACGCTTTTGCCGGCTCGCTGGCGGCGCGGCGTGCTAGGTTCTGTTCGTTCCTTGCTAGCGCGGAGCGCTGCGGCGCAATGTGCCACAGCGGCCCCCTTTCACCTCTGCATCACGCCCCGTCGGTCGCTGGCCCTCGCGTGGTCGTCCCCAGCCCCACCCGACGGCCCACCCGGCCCCGCACCCCCAAACATTGCAAACAATGACAACGCGCGCCGCCCATCACGCCCACTCAGGTTCATCTGCAACCACGCCGAGCTGTCGGTCATCGGCTGCAGCGCGGCCGTGCTCCCGGTCCTCGCCTCCTGCCTCGGCCGCTGCCCCTCGGTCAAGCTGCTGGTGCGCTCCCCGCCGACGCCCCTTTCTCGCGCCACCGGCGCTGCAGCTGTTGTTTTCGCGAGCGCCAAGCCCTCAGATCACAATTCTTGGCGGCCGCCTTGTCCAGCCGTATCACAAGCCCTCACGCTTGGCTAGGGCAAACGGCTCAAAAAACCATGGCAGCTCAGCGTCGCGATGCAATCGCCGTCACGCCTGCGATTGCTCATCAACACGCACACCCGCACACACAAGCACGCACGCACACGCGCGCACATACACACACGCACGCACGTATACACGCACACACACACACCCTGTTGCCAGGTGGTGTGGGGTGCGGGGCCCTCGGACTCGCTGGCCATGCCCGCAGGCGTCAACGTGCGCGTGGTGACGTTCGAGCAGGTGCGCCGCCCTCGCACGCGTTTGAAGTCGTACAACGCAGCGCGGCCCGGCTGCTTGCGTTGCTCCGTCGCGACCCCTTGGCGCCGGCGCGCTGCGGGGCGGCGCGCACCTCCTTCTCTGGCGGCCGTCGCCGTCTGCGCGGGGCCCGCGGTCCACCCCTGCCGCCGCCCGCAGTGCCGCACCCAGCGCCTGTGGCCTTTTTCGCGACGCACGCGACGACCCCTGCA